CAATGGTAAAATGAAATTTCCCATAGCTCAAGTCATGTCCGAAAAAAACCCAAATTATTGACTTTAGTATGCAATCCTTAGAAGCTATATAATAAATCCGGTCTAGATTCGCCTAAGAAGTTGTTCTATATGTCTTATTCTTTTTTCGAGTGCAACTCGACGAGCTTTATCTAATAGTGTAATCAGTTTTTTGATGGCGCCGAATATGCGGAAGACACGCCTAGTAAGTTTTATTATTTTTCCACTTTCACTTGTTGCCATACGAAAACTTCCAATCATGTCGAAGAAAACTTCGAACATTACTTTATTAACTGACAAAAGACCCTTGAAGTTCAGTTGGGCAATACTGAAAATATTTATGCTTTTTTTGCCCGAACTTTTGGAACATCCTATAGATGATTTATAATTTGTAGATGACGATATATAATGTGAGAATTGTCGAAGTAAAATGAATATGCTGCGTAACTATGTTGATGTTTATCAAGATATTTCGCTGAGTGTTCTTTTATGGAATCTGCTTCTTGCTTTATACCCATTAAACCCGCAGATTTTGAAAAATAAAATTTTTACAAAAAAATTCCGTTTTCGATTAAAAGCATCGATGGATACATCTACATTATTGAAAATTTGTCGCAGTGATAAAAAAGAAAAGTCAAACATGTTGTCGCGCTCAAAAAGTATTTGTACACATTGCTGTCATGTCACGATGGTTGGCAGAAAAATGTTCTAGAATTTCATGGCTCTGACTGTTTAAGATAAGAACTGTTGTCAATAATTGATGACATTCATTGAGTCCCAGTGTTGCATTTATGGCCACTGAGATTCTGTAAAAATCCATGAGTTTTTGGAATATTCTCAAAAAGAAATCTATCTCCGCTGCCGCATCGCGATGATGATTTAAGAATCCTATCAGTACTGTGACGCCGTCACCATGATGGTAGCTGCAGTGCAGGCTTGGAGATCTCTGAATTGAAGTAAAACAAATTAGTAAATATTAGACTAGATTGAAACTCTTTAAACACTTTTTTTTTATTTTTCAATAAAATCTTCATAGCTCTATATGCTTGACACCAATAAATTCAGAATTCTATCTTTCTTCATTAGACTTATATGATACCTGTCCTTTTTGTTTTAAATCGAATTAGTTTTATTAGATAGTCAATTAACGATCTTGAAAACGAATCAAAGGAAAAACAAAAAATCGAGGAAAAATATGAGGGTGAAACAAAATACGAAATTATCATGAATATCTCTAATACTACCAGCCTGGGTCATTTTTGATCCATACGTAAAAATGTGAAAATACACTTAAAATATTTTGTTATATCCTGGTTTTTGGAAGCAACCGATATTCAGGAAGATGATGGGTTACGCTCCCTCTACTAGTATCTCTTACAAATTAATGTGTTGTCGAATCTAAAAAGAAGTATTTGCTTTTTATATCATTAGAAGTCTTCGATACGATATCATGTCTTCAATAGGCAATACTCATACAAGAAGAAAGGAGAACAAGTTAAATTTTCAATGACTCATTTACTATTCTAACCATTAAAATTCAATCTTTTAGAGTGGTTACCAGCTATCCAATTAGGATGGTAGATGATTCATTCAATTATGGATGACTTGCCTCTCTTTTTTTTTCTTTTGAAGTTCTTATTTATTGATCTTTTTTTTTCATACTCAACTTTATATACCAATTTATTTTCTTTAGCTGATAGTAGTTCATCTAGTGCGTCTTTATTTACATCTCTTTTATAGATTGAAATTTCTTTTTCATATACAATCTGAATAAACTGTTCAGAATATTATAAAACAATTATGAACAGTTGGATTGAAGATGAAAGTGATGATGAAGATTCTTATGACCAAGGAAGTGCTTCGGAAACGCAAGACGCTGAAAGTCAAACATCAGAAGAAGATGATGAAATTGATTTAGAAAATCTTAAATTAGACGACGATTCTACTCCAAAAAGTTTATATAGTTCCAAATCCGGAATCACCTGGTCTTCAATTCCGTATCCTTCAAAGAAAGCAAAGTCTTCAAATGATACAAGTGAAAAGGCTGGACCTACCAAACTCACGGAAGATGTATCATCTATTCAAGATGCATTTATTTGTTTTATATCGGAAAAAATTATACAAAAAATTTTGATTTATTCTAATATGGAACGTACTCGAAATATCGCTTCCAATGAAGAATCAGAAGATATAACAATGATGGAACTAAAAGCTTTTATTGGACTTTTATTACTTGCTGGTTTATTAGGAAAATCGAAAAAAAACATTAAATCATTATGGAAAAGAAGTCCGTTGGAGTCTCCAATATTCAAAGCTACTATGGGAAGAAGTCGTTTTGAAAAAATGATCTCCTGTTTAAGATTCGATGATAAAACAACAAGAGAAGAAAGGAAAAAAACCGATAAATTTGCAGCAATCCGTGAAATCTGGTCAGATTTCGAAGACAATATAAAAACATGTTATGTACCAGGATCTTATGTTACGATTGATGAACAGCTATTACCTTTTAGAGGAAAATGTCCGTTTCGTCAATTTATCCCGAAAAAACCTGATAAATATGGATTGAAGTTTTGGTTATGTGTTGATGTACAAACATATTATGTATTCAATGCATTTCCTTACCTTTGACGACAACCAGATCAAGAAAGACAAACAAAAATAGGTGCCAGTGTTGTTTTAGAATTGCTGAAACCACTATATGGTTCAAATAGAAATGTTACAATTGATAACTTTTTTACAAGTGTTCAATTAGCCAAAGAACTTCAAATGAGGAACCTGACTCTTATAGGAACATTACGAAAAAATAAACCAGAAATACCTATGGAATTCCAGTCAAATAAAAATCGTGAGATTGGTTCTTCACTATTTGGTTTTCAAGATGATTTAACTTTAGTTTCATTTGTACCCAAACAAAATAAAGCTGTATTAGTACTTTCCTCAAAACATGATGATAATCAAGTGGATATAAAAACTGGAAAGCCCATTATTATTTTGGACTATAATAAAACAAAAGGAGCTGTCGATACTGTCGATCAAATGTGTCATAAATATACGGTAAAAGAAGATTTCTTTTTTATATTTCTACATTTTATTTTCTGTAGGTGAAAAGAGGTACAAAGCGATGGCCACTTTGTATCTTTTTTGGAATGATAGATATTGCTGCTATAAATGCTCTGGTCATATGGAAGACGAAAAATCCTCAATGGAATGAAAATAAAAAATATCAACGTCGATTATTCCTGGAAGAATTAGGATTAAGTTTAGTATCGGATCTTCTGGATTTTCGATCAAAAACGTCGAAATTTCTGAATAAAGATATTGAACACGCATTAGCTATTGTCGGTTATCCTATGGTGAAAAATCTACCAGAACCAAATGGAAATTCTACACAATCAAAAAAACGAAAACGATGTTCGATTTGTGAAGATCCAAAGGATAAAAAAACTTCAATTCAATGTTCTCGTTGTTCCAAATTTGTTTGTAATGAACATTCTGTAAAAATCATTTATTGTGCTAACTGTGCCAAATAAAAAAAAGAATATCATTTTTATAATTTTTCCGGTTTTTTAAAAATTTTTAAAGTTTTCGACCGAGAAATATAAAATTTCTGGTTATTGGGGGCAGGAAGGACTTGCCATCCTCCATCTGCTCAGAATATTAATGCAGGAGTAAAAAGAATCACTCTATGAAAAGGTATTTTGTCAGTATAGTGCTTAAAATAGGCTGGTAGTACTAGGGTTAAAAGCGATTCTCCGAGGAATTTATAGATTATTAAAGATTTGTAGATTGAAAGCATTCACAACGACCTGTTTCGACCTTGCTACAGGATCTATCCTTACATAGGAACTAAAAACTCTCCAACAATTTGAAGAAGTTCGATTTCGACCTTGCCTAACGATCTCATCGCATGTTTTGGTTGTAAACACTGCTAGAATTGATTTTGTATAGGAATGAAAACGAGAGTGTAAAAATGCATACAATCATGTAAAACAAATGATACATTGAAGATGTCAATACAAAAAAAAAAGACCATACTATGTTTTATTCGGAAGCGAAGAATATAATTTTGAATCAACTGGTTTCGCGAAGTCCGTAAACGACGAATAAGATGAAGAGGTGTAGAGTAATTCACAACCTAGAAATACGGTAAACTGTTCGAATGACTAGATCATAGTTCCAAAAAAAACAATTGATACATGCATTTCCTGTTTCTTAGAAATTAATCAACTGCATTAAGCTCCTACTTTTCAACATTCAACGTATTAGAGAAAATCTTCAAACAGTATGGATGTCCTAAAAATGAAACTACAAATATGAAGATCGAAGAGTTCATTCAGACGAAGCGTTTTCGTATCATCTCCTAAAAAATTGAAAAACACATTATACTTGCTTCTCCAAAATTGTAATGTGTTAATAAGTTAGCAAAATGACCACAAAGACATATACATATGCCATTCTTCACCATATCAACCATTCCAGCGGAACAGTGAACAATTATCTGCCTTAATACCACCGTATTTTATTCGAATCATTTTGATTACCAATAAACAACTGTACAAGCTTGCCTGTACCAATATCAATATCCCATGGAGTATGAGCAGAGCTGTTACGAAACAGCAAAACGCTAAACTTTGATGTACGTTGCATCCTCATCTGTAAATGCATAAGAGCATGAAAACGAATATATCTTGTGCAGATTGAAGCTATTTGCTCTGCAGAACTCGTAATTTAATCCGAAATATCTGTTTTCACATATAAGTAACATCTACTAGGCGCTCACTAACTTTGATCGGATAATCCTGAAGCTATTCCACGCTAAATTTGTACAATACCTCCGCGAAAGCTTTCCAACCAAACCATTTCGAATATTTATTGTACATACTTTGTAACTGCATAGGAAAATTCAGAACATACACCCTTGATACCGGATTTACTGTTACAATTCATAGGACATATCCATAGCTATTCGCGTCATTGGCTATCCAGAATAAGAGCACATCAATCTAACATTGCTACTCGCTTTCCATATACCATCGCCAAACCAATTAACGCCAAAAAAAAACCATTGAATCAAAACACTTCATATAGCCAATATTCTAGCCAGGCAAATAGCCAGAGCTCCATGCATCCGACAGCTACAGCCATACAAAGCGGCGCAATACATATCACAAACGACAGCAATATCGCAAAAAACCTCCAACTACAAAAGAAAACGTAAATCTCCCACAAAAAACGTGCAGAAAATCCTCCAAAACCCCAGCAAAAACCAACCTCAAAAGATAACTACAACCAAAGATCGCTTATCGCTACCACACACAAAATCTTCGTCCGCGCCAAATCCAAAGAAAAATCGCACATAAACATGCGTAAACAAAAAAAAAGCACCTGCCCCCTCCAAAACTAACCACTGAACCTCAGAACACCAGTCACGTGGCCGCAATAAAATATTCATACACAAAAAAAAAACCGATCACCATATCAACCAGAACCTACCAAAGCAACTAAAAACATTGAAAAAAAATCCACCAAAAATTTCTTCCAATTTTCACTCTTCACACGTGACCATACATGCAAAAACCCGGTAAAAATACTACAACAACTCGAAAAATAAACAAGCTATCAAAAAATTTTGGAGAGACGAACCTCCTATTTTTTCATGCTCTATCCAACAAAACCAACACGATCTTCCTAGGGTTGGTGTGGGTGTGGGTGTGGTTGGGTGGGTGTGGGTGTGAATCTTCATCTCTACCACACTCACCCACATCCACACCCACACCCACACCCACACCCACACTCACACCCACACCCACACCCACACCCAGCCACACCACCCAGCCACCCACACCCACCCCACCCACCCACACCCACACCCACACCCACACCCCACACCCACACCCACACCCCACCCGAATATGATTAGGATTTTTAACTGATAGTAGAAAGAAAGGAAATCGGGGTACCATACCGTTGGTCACGCCCATATATATATATATATTTACCATCTTAATTTTTATGATATTTGGATTTATTTTAGTCATTCAAATATGATATTTGCTTTTTATTAATATAGCTTCGGAAATTATCAGTAAATTCTATGACTGGGACTTTTTTTTTTTAGGATATTTAAATTGATATCATTAAAACAATAAACAATATCCATTTTTCCGATGAAACTCGAAAAAATGTGTTTTAGTCAAAAGTGCTATTGTTCAATAATATTTGTGAAGTTGATTCATCTCAATAAAGACTTCGAGATGATTTCTACCATATGAAATAAAACTATTTAATTAGCTTAAACAAATAAAGAAGTTTACACGAATTTACTTTTAAAAAACCATTTAGAACACTTTGTATTTGTCGAATAAATAAGGAAAATCAATTCTTCTCACATGCATGTCTTAAGATGATTTATCTAAATCAAAAATGATATGGATAACTTTTTGTGACTCCACTCGATAATTGCTTCAACAATTTTTTCGACGATACGACCAAGCCATACACAGTGTCTACTTTTTCTAGTTTTCACTTTTCAATTTACCGAAATCAAATCGACAACACTTGTTGCTGCAAAAAAAAATATCTTTTTCACAAAAATTTCTGAATAGAGATATCTGATGTTTAATTGATTTATTCCATCTTCTAAACGTAATCTAACATAACTACAAATAACTGATCACTATATGATGAACGTTGCTCGAAAAGTACGTTGACCTAATGACCTGACAAAAAAAATGAATGAGGAAAAAAAACTTTTAGACAGAATGAGAAAAAAATATTATTTGTTCATTATTGTCTAATATCATAACGTCAACATATCTCTCTCATTGTTCTCACAGACGACGATGAGCAAACGAAAACATATATATACAGAGAAAGTCAGAGTGAATAAATCATTATTAAACATGGAAAGTTCAAATAACTATAATATTAATATACTCGATTTATCTGATGAAATGTTACTTGCCATTTTGAATAAGTTGAATATGGTCGATGTAATCTATTCATTAGTGGATGTTAATAAACGATTTAATCGATTAATACTTGATCCTTTTTATATTCATAATCTTGATTTGACTGTTAAACACTCATTACTTCAACGAGTTTCTCCATTAGATATGCAAAAGATTGATACAATTTGTAAAAAAATCTTACCAAAAATTCATCATCATATATACAAACTTACTGTTCCATCATATTTAATTGAATCTATTATTAATATTGATTATCCTCAACTTCAATCTTTATCACTTGTCAATTTTGAAGAACAAAAATTATTAAAATATTTAACAGGTAATGTTCAATTTAATTATAAGAACATTGAAAATCTTCTACATAAATTGATAATCATATTTTTTGTAGGAGAAACTGTTTATCGATTATTAACAAATCAAATTACACATCTTAGTGTCGATATTGTTTATGATAAAAATGAATCAAATATATTTTTATTAATATTATCTTCGGGAAAACATTTAACTGATCTGACGTTTCATAATCGATTCTCATCTGAACATCTAGGAAATCCAACTTTTGTTTTATCATCAATTCATATATCTTCAACTTTAAATAAACTAATTGTTAATGTAACTACATTTGATGATTGTCTTTATCTTCTTGATGGAACTCTTCAATCTTTAACTGCGTTGATTATTGACATAATTAGCATCTCCGAGTCATCATCAATCATAGATAACACGGTAATTATAATTTCACTCATTCTATATAAGAAAAAACACACAGTTCTAATTATCTTTTCTTATTTTTATAGAAAAAACTTCCTAAACTGAAACAATTTTCATTAACTTCGGAGCGTATGACATTTGCTTATGATGAGAAAGTTGTTCCATTACTTCGTCGAATGATACATATCGAAGATTTAACATTATTTCTGAATGTAGGAAGACTCGGTTCTATTAATATGGATGATTATATTAATGCTTATATTGATGGTACTCATTTATATAACGATGTTTTTGCTTTTATGCCGCAACTTCACAGATTTACTTTCAGTATTAATACTTGTGCTCCTATCAGTAATATTGGGTTTCCATCGAATGATGATATTGAGCATAGTTTCATTGAAAAAGGAAATCGGCATGTTGGTTCATATGTTCATAATAGATTACCTATACAGACTGGTCAATGCCATGTTTTTTCTCTTCCATATCAATTCGACACTTATCTTCTGATGAGATGCAATTCTTTTCAAGGTGGTTTATTCAATAAAGTTCGATCAATGAAAATGTTTGATTCATATCCATTTGAACATGATTTATTTGAAAAGATCTCTCAACATTTTCCTTTTCTCCGAAACTTAACTTTGGATAATGAAGCTGGACAAGACAATAAACAACATTCATCTACATTGATTACATTTCCATATCTTGAACATCTGAATATTATGTTTGCGGATGCTGATTATGGTGAACAATTTCTCTTTGAAAAAAATACTCGTTTACCTCGTTTGTTGGAACTTCACATTAGTTATGATACATTAACAATGATCACAAACAATTTTACCAATGATTTAGCACGTGTCAATTGTTCGAAAATAAGACATATTGTTACAAAAGAATTATATGTTCCTCCTAAAGATTTTCATTTGTATTTTCCTTT